TCGATGTTGCCGAAGTTGTGCTGCTTGATGGCCGGTGGCGGAGGTGGTAGTGCTGGCGGAGCGTTGTCCACTCGCGGGCGTTTCTTCGGCGTTTCGCCCGTGAGGTCGATGAATGTATCTCCATTTCCTCCTTGATCTGATGGTGGTAATCCGCCTCCACCGCAGTCTCCTCCTTCATGTGGTGATCCTTCGTCCCCTCCTCCTGGTCCCGGTGGCTGTGGTCCGTCAGGAGGTGGGGGCTGGTCAGCTGGTGGTTGTCCTGGCGGTGGTGGTGGCTGATTGCCGTTCATGGCGTTGAGTACCTGTCCCCAGGGCACGAGCTCTGAGGCAGTAGCGTGGCGTAAATGTCCCCGGTTGACCTTGGCGGTGGTGGAACGATGGCTGACCCATACGTTCGAGGTGCCCTCGAAGCCAATGATGATGCCGGGTCCATGCCACTGCAAATCCCATTCGCGCTTAGGCTTGCCGTTCCCCCTCCAGTAGTATATCTGGTCCCCCGTTTGATAGATATCCGACGCGTGCTGAGCTCCATCCGCACGCGATCGTGCGAGTAAGGCCCGGGATAGGGACTGGTTGAAACGCAGATGCTGGATTGACGTCTGGGCTGCCTTCATGAGGGCAATCCTCTCAGAGAAGGACTTGTCAGAGACCACTCTCGTGCAGCGAGAGTCTCCCAGCGCTATCCAGCAGGCAATAGGGTAGTTGAAGTCCACGTCCGAGTACCCACTGTGCCGGTGAATACCCACTGGCATTGATTGAGCTATTCGTAGCCCAGCAGACAGCGGCGAGCAGCCACTGGATCTTGTGGGCGTTCGCGGGCTGATCGAACCTGATGCTGAACTGGTCGATCAGTTTCCTGGCGTGGACCTTCCACATGCCGCCGTGCCTTTCCACGGTGGCGTTCTGTTGCGGCGTAGCCGCGGCAGTAGTCATAAGGCGACAGCCCATGTCCTCGAGTTCCTTTGAGAACTCTCTCTCAAACTCGCCTCCTCCATCGAAAAGTACCCGTTGTGGTGCCCCAAACGGTGTAATCCAAATCTGCAAAAGCCTCGCGAATACAACCGAGGGGTGTCTTGAAGAAACTGTACCACATAATGTAAATCCAGAAGCGAGGTCGACCACATTGAGAAAATCCAACTGATTGCCGGCGTAGTCGGCGAGAGTGAACAAGTCCACTCCAATGGAATCATTGAAATTCCCAATCTAGCTTGATTCTCCCAGGTAGAGGAGGTAGGGGTCGCCGATGGGCGGCGCAGACTTCGCAGTGCAGGTTGAGTGCCATCTCGACCGCTCTTTGGGATCCACCCGTCACTCGGATGGCCCGGGCCAGCGCGTCGTTGGCAGGGTGCCCCGTGTTGACGTGGAGCTGCAGTATGGCGGACTTGAGCGTCCGCTCCTCCGCTGCCGTCAAGGCTGGCTCTGCGGGGGCTGTCGGGGCAGGCACTGTCCTCCTCGCGGCTCTCCGTCTCGTTGGTTCCGCGGGGTTTGCCTCGCGGTGCTCGGTCACGTTCGTCTTGCGAAGCTGCTTGACCAGCATGGCGACGAGCTTATCGGTGTAGTTCTCGCTGTCCTTGGCGAGCTTGCCACGGGCCTCGACGTGTTTGTGTAGGCCGTCGCAAAGCTTGTGCAGCGAGTTATCGATCCCGTAGTGGTCGGTGATAATCCTCCACGGCTTCTTGATCGCGTCCCCGTTCCTGGTCTGAAGGCCGTAAGCGCAGCCATCGAAGTCGATGATGCGCGGGAGCTGATCCTCCAGCTTCTTCGCGGTGTAGTTCTTCCTGATCCCAGCCGTCGCAGTAGCGCGGCCACTCGAAGGAGACCGCGAGCTGGCTGCCAAACTCCTTCCGCAGGCGGCTCATTAACGCCAGGAAAAGGTCGATCATCCTGGCGGAATACCTCCGGTCCTTTTCCAGCTTCTCAGCCTTGCGGGGGTCGATCTTCAGGATGAGGCGCTGCAACGTGGTCCATGGCGTGCATGGAAATGCGGCATGGACCCGTGCACTCTGGCCCTTCCGCAGGTTCTTCCGAATCTTGTCCTCGAGCTTCTCGACGATGGGCTTCCGAGAGAGGTCGTATCCAGGAAGACCGCAACGTACAGCAGCTCCTCCACTCTCATTCCACTTCGCACTGAGCTTGCTGTCGGGGTTGCAGCACCACTCGTAGAGGATGGTGGTGTTGCTCGAGATTCCGCTCGAGCTCGTAGTTGACTTGGCCAGGTCAGCCTTGAGCACCTGGCTGACTGTGTGCGGCTTAACGCCGCTCTTGTTGGTGACGATGGCCGACCGCTTGCCGGCGGTCACCTGTAGCCTTGTCCCCTTCTTGAGCCGACGTACCTTCATCTGCTCCTCCTCCACGATGTTGACCTCCTTCGGGTCGCTGTCGTTCTCGATATCCAGCGTGACCGAGTTGCCGAAAACACACTCGGAGCAGAACCCGAGGCGGCAACAGTCTGTATAGGACTTGGCGCCGCAGGCCACGCAATCGTCGAGGGGCTCGGCGATGCAGGTAGTAGCCGAAATCATTGTTGGAGCAAGCGTCGGCGGCGCGACCGCCGTCGAACAGCAGACCAACGCAGAGCTTACGGCGGCCATGAGCCTTGAGCTGCCGCCGCGTCGCTGTTGAAGTCGTCTCGGTACATTGAGCTCCTTCTTGGGAATGAGTCTCGTGATATTCTCGAGCAAGTTGCTCGCCTTCGCAGTGAGGTTGACCGTGGGCTTCGGGGCTGGCCGCTTGGCGATGCTCTTAGTACTAACAGCCTTCGGTCCAACTCGTGGCCCGCGCCCTTGATGGCGAGCCAGTCCTCCGGGTGGAGGTCGATCGCGGGATGTCCTGCGCTGCTCGTGATGAGCTTCTGGGAATGGTTCCCGATGCGGATCTGTTCCCGCCAGAGCGAGATGTCGATCTTGCTCGGCTGAATGAAGTCCCGGCCGATAAGCAGGCCGAGCGTGGGGCTGTCAACGACGCTGAATATTATGCGACCAGCGCGTCCACACAGGACGAGTGGGGCTGTGACGCGCAGCTTGCTCGGGAGCGTGCCGCCGTTCCCGAACCTGTAGACTTCGTTCTCTGGCTCCTCCAGGATCTGGTCGGCCAGACCCATCTTGGTGAGCTTCTCCTTGTACTGCTTGTACCAGCTGAGGCCGCCAACGCAGAAGAGACAGGCAGTGTCGATCACGCCGACGCCGTCGTCGTTGGGCTTCTCGCCAGCGTTGGTGGTGTTTATAGTGGCAAATCTGGTACCACGCGCTCGGAGACCAGAGTCTCGGGGGGCGGAGTGATCGGACCTTCTGGATGAAGAATCACTTCTTCGTCACCGAACTCCACGTGATTCTGGTCGTGGACCTGCTCGGTGATGTTGGCCTGGCGGTGCGAGCGACCTCCGCCGCCTCGTCCTCCGCCCTTCTGCTTAGAATTTGGGGCGAACTTTCGAGCGCCTGGTGTCGGGCACTCCTTGTCACCGGTCCAGTGCCCCGCCTCGCCGCAGTCCCAGCACTTGGAGTTCTTCTTGCGCTGGTCCACGCGGCCTTGTAGCTTGCCCGCGGGTCGGCGCTTGGGCGAAGCCTTCCCGCGGCCCTTGATAGCCTCCCGGGCCGACCGCATGGTCGCCATGGCCTCGGGAATCGCGGCGAGCTCCGCCGCGGCAGCCTCCACCTTGGCAGAGTCGTCCCGATCGAACACCTCGCCGAGGTCGTAATTGGACTGCTCCAGCTCGGCGCTGAAGGCCTCGAGCTCCTGGCGCACGATGTCCTGGACGTCTGCCTCCGTCTCGTTGTCGTCGCCGTCCTCCGAGTCCTCATGCTCGTCTTCTGGCTCGTCAGCGATGTTGGCTGAACGTGCTCGGCTTGGCGGCGAGCGCTGCCAACTACTGTTTGATCGCTGCGGCCACGATCGTGACGGCAAGCTTGCGCGTCGTTCAGATGTGTGGATATCGGGGAACATGCGCACCAGCAGGCCCCTGATGCGCTGAAATGAGTAGTGCTCGTCCGGCAAGTTGCCCGCGACGCGCTCACGGCGCTCGGCCGTGAGCCCAGCCTTGCGTAGCAGGAACCAGCCGGCCACGTCGTCAAGCGTAGTGAGGTCAACCTCGTTCTCACGTAGTTGCTGTAATCCCGCCTCGAATCGCACGAGCCAATCCGTCATGCGTTCTCCACGGCGGCGATGGTGCTGAGTCGACTCGAAGAACTTTTCTAGCGTCTCTCCCTTCTGCACCGGCTTCTGCTGGCCTAGGATTGCCTCGAGGTGCATTAGCACGTTCTCGATGCCCTTCTGGTTGCGATCGCGCTTCTTCTCGTTCGCATCCTCGATGCCGTCGTCCGGCGGCGGGTGGAGTTCCTGCTCCGTCATATTGAGAGCGGCCGACCTGGCTGTGCCCGTCAAACGCAGGACGAACTTCGATGCCAAACTTTGTGTCACTTCCAAATTCTCACTGAGCTTCCACAATTTTACCTCCTTTTTGTAATCTCGCCATTTCGCTGGATCTCCATTCCAGCTTGGTATCACTGACTGGTTGTGTGTGAACTCCGTCATCTTGACACCGTCGTAGGTGAAGTATGTGGCGTCGCTGACACCGTCGTAGAAGAGGTATGTGGCGTTGCTGACACCGTCGTAGGAGAGGTATGTGGCGTCGCTGACACCGTCGTAGGAGAGGTATGTGGCGTCGCTGACACCGTCGTAGGAGAGGCATGTGGCGTCGCTGACACCTTCGTAGTGGGAGAAATATGTGGCGTGCGTCCGCGTGATGGCCAGGGCTGCAAGTCGCTGCTCCACGCGTCTCGAGGCGCACGTCCCATTGCTGCTGCGGCGCGGGCGGATCCTGCTCGCGCCCGGTGCGCTGCGGCGCGGGCTGACAGCGTAGCCTTCGGCCAGGGTGGGGAACTGTGAGCAACTAGCCAGGGCTGCGCGCATCACGTCAACGCAAGGCCAGACGCGGCGGAAGACCGCCGCACGAACGTTTGTGAAAGAGGAAGAAGGAACGGTGGTACCACGAACTCCACGGCCAGGCCAGCCTCTCGGTGCACGACTCCACGAACTACAAAGATGGGCCCGCCGTGAGTTCCACGTCGGCAATTCTGGACGTGCTCTTACACAGCAAGGCCGTGGCTCCGGATAAGCTGTTCGAAATCCCCGCCGCATTCTTTTCCCTCAGCGACACGGAGAATTTGCTGACCAAGGCCGGGGACCGCGTGTGGGCGTCCGTGCGCATGTCCGACTACACCGGTTCGGTCGACGCTAAGATCACGGAGGCGGCTGCCCTCGCGTTGACGGGGCGCGCTGACAAGGCCGAGTTTCAAGACGAGGTCGCGCAAGGGTCCATGACGTGGTCTCGGGCACGCGTCCGCGCAGCGCTGGCTGCCTCCCCCGGCGGCAAGGGCGACCAGGTTAACGAGCCGCGCCTTGCTATCGTGTGTGCAGAGCCTTGCCTTTTCGACGTCACCGTGCCATTGCTCGCCCCGCAGAACGACAGCCGCCTTGCCCCGACTACAGCCCGCGCCATTTCGATGAGTGCCACGGGGAAGCTCTGCGTCGCTATCGGCCCTGCGCGGTTCCTGACCAGCGGGGCCATCCTATTCGTCGAGGCCACGAAGGACCCAGATACCACCCCGCGCGACGACGGCTTCGCCATCACCAGCTACGTCACAGACGTAGCGGAGACCGACACCGAGCAGAAGACTGCCTGGAAGGCGACCACGGCGTGTCCGACAAGGCGTCTGGGCCGGCACGCCTTGACCAAAAAGGACCGGGCGCTTATCTTGGTCACTTTCGTCAACGCGACGGACTCCGAGCTCGCTGTCGCCGACATGTGGAAGCTTGCGCCCGGCATCGACCCCGACGCGTTCACGGCAGAAATTGCCGCGGCAACAGACGTCCTCACCAACCGCCTCACGCGCGCCAAGCGCAAGGCCGACGACGACCTCAGCGACTTCTTCGGGCCCACCGCCAAGCGGATCCACGAGACGTTCTGTGGCCCCGCGAGCATCGCAGAGTGAACCCGCTCCGACGCAACTCCCCTGTCTTGGTCGCGCCTCCCGAGTGCTTGCCCCTCTTCCACCCTCTGATTATCGTCTCTGCCCCGCCCTCTTACATCCCTTTTGCATTCCGCCATCCAACCATGGCCCGTCTTCAGCCACCGCCGCTGCTGGGCCCGTGCCGTTCTAATACGGGGCCGTCCTCCATGAGTGTACATCGGCGGTTGGAAGGATTGTAAACGGAAGTGTTTCCAACTGGAACATCGGTTTCGGTTTTGGTTCGTGCCCATGGAGACCTAAAGGTCGCCCCCCAAGCGCGCCTTCCAGGTTGTGCTGATGTTTTCCCGATGGCTGTCCCGATGATTTGCTCCGATGGTTGCCCCAATGTTTCTCCCGACGGCTCTCCCGATGGTTCCCCCGATGGGCGCCGATGGTTGCCCCGATGTTTGTCCCGATGGTTGTTCCGACGGGCGTCCCGATGGTCGTCCTGAGGTTGTCCCGAATGTTGTCCCAGTGGTTTTGCCGATGGCGATCGTTGTCCCGATGGTTGTCCTGGTGCTTCTATTGATGGTTGTCCCGAAGGTTCTCCCGATGGTTGATCCGATGGTTGCCCCGATGGCTGCCCCGATCGTTGTCCCGATCGTTGTCCCGAAGGTGGCCCCGACGGTTGTCCCGATGATTGTGCCGACGCTTGCCCCGATGGTTGCCTGGTTGTCTGCCCCGACGGTATGCCCGATGCTTTTCCCGATGGTCGGCCCAATGACTGTTCCGATTTGATGGTTGCCCCGATGGCTGTCCTGATGGATAGTGGTTGCCCCGATGGTTGTCCCGATGGTTCCCCCGGTGGTTGTCCCGATGTTTGCCCCGATGGTTGCCCCGATCGTTGTCCCGATCATTGTCCCGAAGGTGGCCCCGACGGTTGTCCCGATGATTGTTCCGACGCTTGTTCCGATGGTTGCCTGGTTGTTTGTCCCGACGGTATGCCCGATGCTTCTCCCGATGGTTGGCCCAATGACTGTTCCGATTTGATGGCTGCCCCGATGGTTGTCCTGATGGATAGTGGTTGCCCCGATGGTTGTCCCGATGGTTCCCCCGGTGGTTGCCCCGATGTTTGCCCCGATGGTTTGCCCGATGGTTCCCCCGATGGTTGGACACAACGATTGTCCCGATGTGACGGTTCTTCTGATGGTTGTCCCTGTAAATAGGGGGTGTTCCGATGGCTGTCCCAATGATTGTCCCGATGGTTGTCCCGATGGTTGTCCTGGTGGTTGCCCCAGCGGTTGTCCCAATGGTTGTCCCGATGGGTGTCCCTATGAATCTCCCGATGATTGCCCCGAAGGTTTGCCCGATGTTTGTCCCACTGGTTGACCCGGAGGTTCTCCCGATTGTTCTCCCGATGGTTGTCCCGACGGTGGTTGTTTCGGATGGTTGTCCCAACGGTTTCCCGATGAATGTCCCAATGGTTGATCCGATGATTGTCCAGATGGGTCCCGCAGATTGTTCCGATGGTTGTCCCGATGGTTGCCCGGATGGCTGTCCGATGGTTGGCCCGATGGTTGTCCCGACGTGATGGTTCTCCCGATAGTTGTCCCGTTTGATGGGTGTTGTCCCGGTGCTTCTCACGATGGTTGTCACGATGGTCGTCCTGTTTGTTGCCCCGATGGTTGTCCGGGTGGTTGCCCCGATGGTTCCCCCGATGGCTGTTCCGACGTTTGTAACGATGGTTGTCCCG